GGCAGCCGGGGTTGGGGGGGTGGGGGGGGGGGTGACAGGCTGTCCGATGGGTGCTTTGACCCCAGCATGCTCACCCCACACTCCTGCCTGTACTGGGTGCTGCTGCTTTCCCCTCTCCCTCCGGGACCCCCCATGGGGCTGGGCAGGGGACCTGTTCTGGAAGATATGGCTGGCACCAGGCCAGTGCCATGGGGCAGCAAATGCCTCTCCCCGACTCCCCCAGCTCCAGCCAACTGGGTAAGGTGTTTGGTTACCCTGCCCGTGGGGATGTCACCCCAGGACTGGCACGGCCACCTCTGCCGGCCCCTGTCACCTTGTGCCAGTCCCAGCCTTCCCTGAGCGCTGGCTGCCTCCCTGTCCCACCAGTCCCATATGTTCCTGTATGGTCCCCAGGGTGCCTGCACCGCAGGGGACATGCTGGGGAGCCCTCCCGGTTCCTGGAGGCCCTGGGGCTGTGCCACCCCTCGCCTCCCTACTGGGGCTTCTTCTGTAGCCCCGTCTGCCTCTCGCAAGCCCTTTGTCCTAGTAGCTGGGTGCTCTCCCATGACCCTTTCTATTTGTAGGCTGACCGCTGAGAGCAGGGAGCTCACCCTCTGCTCTTGCACCATTTCCCATCCAGCTCCTTCCTCCCCTGGCGCCATTCCCCGGCTGCCCTCGGCATGATTTGGCCCAGTACAGAGGTCCCAGCTGCCCCTGGGGCCCGAGGCTTGTTTGCAGGAGCCTGACCTCACGTGCAGGGGAGAGAGCCGAAGGTACAGGCAGTGCAGGGTTCATGGCATGGCCCTTGCCCCCACATCCACCGTGTCTCTCAAGGTCAGGGTGCTGCTCTGCTGCCCTGGTAAACGTCTCATGCGAGAGGTGAGAAAAGAGGGTACCCACTGCTGCTCGCTGCTCCTATCCCTCCCGTGCCCTGGTGCTGCCTCGGGGAGGGAGCAGGCTCTGTAGGGGCTGCGATGTATGGGGAAAGGTAAGGAGCGAGGGAAGCTGGCACGGCCAGGTGGTAGGAGATAGTGAAACTCATCTGTCACAGTCCCCAGGCCCGTGCAGGAAAGATGATGGAGGACACGGTGGAGGAGCACGGTCACATGCTGCTGCTGGCCTGCTTGCGCTGCGCTGGCTGTTTCATCCACAGACATAGAAGGACCCCCTGCTCCCTGCCAAGAGTGGCCGGAGCGTCCCTGAAGGCAAGCCGGGCGGCACTGGGA